CGGCCGCCATGTCCGACATGGCGGCCAACATTTAAAACACTGTTGAGCATCTTGGTAGTTATGGACCACCTCATTGGGTATAGGTATTGGTAGTAGTATTGATAGTTTCAGCGATTTATGTATACTTGTGTAGGATTTTTATACCACCACCTTTAATTATCTAGAAATAAATTATTTTTTTATTTTTTCCTAGATAATGACAATAATTTATTGACATTTATAATAGACAAACTACATGTCAAACTAAGATAAAATATGATAATTGATGCAATTAACTTTAACAACAGGAAGTGGAAAATGGGTTAGGCCTAATGGCTCCATGTTAAAGAAAAACAATTCACAAAACACTTTTGAGGTCAAAGATTCCCTAGATTCTCACTAGGTAGACAAATTATTGGTCCGGCTAAACAGCATCTAGAAACATAGACAATAAACAACTCATTACCGAACATAAGGACACGGAGAAACCTTTTTCTCTTGATTCTTAGTAACAGTTTGTTAGCCTAGAAAAAACATTACAGGTCAGATATAGATCGACTTAAGAGAACTGTTGCTCTTTCTTATAGGAATCAGGGCTAGGGGCTTCATTTATGTTGAGATGTGTCCACAAAATGACCTTAGGTTCACAAATCATTATATGAAAATATCACCAAGTAGTACAATTGTGATTGGAGTTTCAAAGAAATTCTGATCGAAGGTCAAGCATTAGCAAGTTCTTATTGGATCCAGACCTAAACAAACCTTGCAATGAGAATCCTTCTAGAGACTCTAGGCTACACTATAGCTGCCCGAGAAATGCAAAACCTCCTTACGGATCTTTTATTTATTTTTAGTTAGATCAGAAGATTCAGAACCTTATTTCAATAGGACACTTATATTATTATATTTATGTCATAGTTATATTTTGGTTGGAACTCTATGCTTGTTAGAGCTGTAGTTAAGTAGGAAGTACAAATTAAGTTCTTTTCCTGTACACTTACTAGAAATCAGGCCTATGAAAAGGCTGGTATTCAACTAATATTTAATTAATTAAACTTGTTAGGTTGTTCTTTTCTACTTTCCTAACCCTTCTTCCTTGTTTAGAATCTTCTCATTCCCACCACCTTGGTTGAGGTTTTAGGGTGAGATATTGTTTAATTGGAGGGGTGTAGTTCTTTTTCTTTTGGTCTCTAGATGCAACTCCAGCCTCTTTCCATAGTTATCACGGATATATTTTTCGGGATTGCTTTGTGATTTTCATTCCTGTAACACGTGCCCATTTATCAAGCAATTTCTGAACCTTATCAAAGGAACAAATGATTCAACAACCAACAACTGAAGAACAGGGATTTACCTACAATTAACTTATCTAAACACAGATGCAGAATTGTATCCATTTAGAAAACTAACCAGCTTCATTCTGCTCAAGTGGAAGGAACAACCATTACTCTGGAATGGTTTCAATTTCGTTTCATATATTATGATAATGAACCTTTAGATGTCATGATTCATAAATCAATTAATTAGATTAGGTAATCTACAAACTCTAACCTTCTTGGCTCGCCGAGCTGCAGCTGAATCTGCACTGCCATACACTGAAGTTTCTATCTCCTCTTCAGGGACAAGCTCTAGCGCTTCACAGATTGAAATAAATTCCTATGACAACAAGAACATGGAAAAAAATATAACTGGTCAAGAAGATACAAAAAGCAAAAAGTAAATAGCAGCATTACTAGTACAGCATTACTAGTACAGATATCAGCCTATCCATAATACCAAAAGTAAGGCTAACCTTCAATTGATTCTGAGATACTTTAATACCCTGCAACCTATCATCTTGTGCAACTTTTTCAGTCAATTCTCCAAGATAAAAAGGGACCTGAAAATGAGAGTTTGATAATAGTATCCTTGTGCCAAAAGAAAGAAAATACCAGATCCCAAAAAAACTCCAAGCACACGTGCCAATTCAAACTTCAACTTGAAAACAAGGAAAAGAAGATGTACAAAGAAAGAGTACGAAACTTATGGTTGATATCATTACATAAGAATTTCTTGTTAGGTCTCATGTTTATAAGCCTACCATCTAATCTGGTTTTGATGATTAACAAAAAATTTCTAACATCGTTTGTCAAGTATTTGTATTTGATTGTTAGGTATCCTACACAAAGATCCTCTGTTAGAGGTTGATTGGAATTGTGTCTTAACGACGATATTTTGGCGGTTGGTGGAAATTCGGAATGAAGCCCTTGCACTCAAGTCAAATACGAGATAGTGCTTCATCCTCACTATCAAGATTAGGATCGTCCAAGATCAAGCTTCATGCAGATTGATTGTCTTGGGTATAGTGTTTTTATGTTTAGTTGTATACTTTAAGCTCAATCATACACGTACACGTTTTCTTGATTTATCGTATCATACATCCATTTGGGAATATATTGTGTTTTTGGATTATAGACTAAATAATACTATTTTACATCTTTTCTAAAGTCTATCAATTCATTAAAAAAACTCAAAACTTGTTTGAAAGGATTCCATCAAGATCAAGTTTTTAACGAGTTAGTATTCTTAAGCGTTTTGCAAAACAGCAAGTTTTCACAAATGGAAAATAATATTTTAAAAATTTATTCTCTAACATGTTTATTTTCATATATATAAACATTTTCCCAAGTTTTACTATTTTTGGAGTTGATTTTTTATTTTAATTTGAATTTAGAAAATCAGCTTTTCAAAATTCAGGTTTCTGTGAATAGTATTATCGATCGACCGATTGGTTTCATAAGTCGACCAATCCTCTTGCATCAGTCAACCAATGTAATTTTTAAGTCAACCGACCAGTGCAAATTTTTCAACCTGAGTTTTTCAGTCTCATCAATCGACTGATTACTTGTATCAGTCGACCGATGAAGTGTAGTCAGTCGATTGATTTTTCTCATCAGTCGACCGAACGATTATTTTTCTGTAACGACTAGTTTTTGTTAAGCTTTGTTTTTTAGGCTATAAATAGTCCTCAACCCTTAGTTTTTTAACAATAGTTTTACAAGATAGTTTTGGACAGTTTGTTTCACGTTTTCAAATATCAAAGTGTGTTTTGTTTGTGTGAAGGAAGTTTCACAAAGAGAAGATCTTAATTTCGATTTTGAGGCGTTCAACCTCAAATCTTCATCTACATCTCTTTATTTTCTTTGAAGAAGTTTTCTAAACTCATTCTCTAGCTTAATCTTCATTTTGATTCGTATATATACAAGCTAGATTTACTTGAGTTTAATTTCGTTTTGCTTACACTTGAGCTTTAGTATATCACATATTGTATATTTGGGTTGTGAGTAATTCATTAAGTAAGCTTAAATTTCGTTCACATCCTTGTTAGAGAACAAATCTTTATTTGCACTAATTATCGAATCACGTTATAATACACAAGGACACTTAGAGGAGTGGTTGGGAGGGACCGGGGTCAATTCCAAGATGAGTGGGTTGGTTGCAAAAACCTAGAAAGAGGTAGTTATTCCAAGCACTTGAGGAAGGTGACACGGATATGCTAACACTTAGATGAGTGTCTTGTGGGATTGACAACGAATGGATTGTAAACGTTATCGGTGAACGTTAAAAATCGTTATTGTGTAGTTATTTGTGATAGTGGAGAATCTCTTCAAGGTGAGAAGCGGAGACGTATGTCGAGTGTTAGACCGAACTTCGTGATCATATCATTGTGTTTGCGATTGTTTTGGCGCACTACATGATTTTATATCTTGTGCATGTTTATATCACCTTTTGGTTATTTGTTTATCCTTGCATATATCTCATTGTACATCATATTACTAGGATAATAATTAATAAGTTTTAATTTAGCATCAAAATCGGATTAGATTAGCAATTACTTTCAACCCCCACCCCCCAACCAGGGTACTTTCATTTCCCACAAGAAGCAAGACTCAAAAGCCAGAGCTCCCCAAAGAATTGATTATGTTTTTATGAGCAGCTATCAACTGTCGCAGCAATCTTATACATGGAATACTTTTTTATCTTTGTAAATCTTCATTAAATCTCACACTTTATTTGGTCAGAGTTAGTTACAGGATTTAAAAGAAAACCTGGTTGCGCGAGATATCTACATCATTTTTTTGGTGACTCGTTATTCCAAAAGAACGAAAATTTTAGCATTTTTTCCATTAGATTGTTTTCTAGATATATGTTACATTAAACGCTGGGCGCTTCTAGGCGTCGGACTTAGCGCCCAGCGCTTAGTCGCCTAGGCGGGCATCTAAGCGGTTTTTGGACGTTTTTTTTTCTTTCTTCATTTAAGTGGTGGTCGATGAGGTTTTGCTGAAGGTCAGAGGAGATAGTGGAGATGTTCATATTTGGAGGTTAATTGAGTTTAGAGGACGTGTAGGCTATGACATATAAAATCACAATCAAGGCCTATAGGGTGCAATCCACGTAAGCAGACAATGCTCCCCTAAACGCTCGTAAAATCTAGATGGGCAACCTAAATACCGTCTAGACGCTAGGCACTAGTTAGTCGGTCTAGGTACCGTCTAGGCCTAGGCGTACGCCTAAGCGGACTAGGCAGAGGTTTTTTAAAACAGTGTTCTAGATGGACTAAAGCGTAATCTGGGTTTCATATATTTTTAATAGATGACATCTATATAAGGAGTAGGTTTCAAATTTCAATAGACAAAAATTTTGGGCTACAGTAGTATAGGTACTTTAGCAGTAAAGAAAAGGTGTCAAAGCTGTAAAAAAATCCCTAACAAATTATATTATCCCCCAGTTACTGTCTTATAATTGAATCAATTAGTTACTTGCATTACCAGCTTAGATTTGACAAATCCTTTCTTCCATTAAAAAAAAGATATTAGGAAGAGAGAGAGGAAAGGATTTAAGAAATGTGGAACCATGAAGAGATGCTAGACATGAGTTCTATCCTCTGCAAGGCCACCTTCTATGCAGTCCGCCCTTCACTGAGATAAGTCCACTCTACCACCGAAAAGTCTTATGTTTGTATTCGAAGGTTTAGTCTTGTGATTTATTCCTTCTCGATAGCTGTTGAACTCTTTAGATCAATGTTATTTCCAATTTAGATGCTTGCATTTATAAAAATGGTATCATGGATTCAGCATGCTTCATTAACTACACCACATGGCGATGTTATTTATATTTGTTGTTTGGCCATCCTTATTCAAGTGCAAGAGTCAAATATAGCACCACTTACGTCTATGAGTCGCTCACTATTTCGTAAATCATAAAAAAAAGAAAAAAGACGCGGTTCTCCGTCAGCGGCAAAGGGAGAAGTAAATTTATAAATGAGAATCGAAGCCACAACCCCCCGCGCAAGATCATAATATGGGGCACTAATATTGGATTTTCATCATCCCATAGAGGACCCTAATATTCTCACTAACCATATCGAAATCCTTAAAGTTTATTACAATCTGTTATATACAGCTATAACTCGTGTGAAGATGGGGCAAGAAAACACTTACTAGGAGATATTTCAGATTGGTGGTGCTGACGTCATCCTTCGACTCGTTCGAGGAGAATAACCCTAGCCTGCTTACCATCTCGTCGCAGCGGCGGAGTGCCTCAATCCCCTTTCTCAGTGTCTCCTGATTTTAAGAAGAAAAAAACCTTTTTTTTTTTAATATCAACTAAAAACGAAAAATTTAGCAGACGGTCATCAATAGAGGGTGGAGAGAGCAAAAGATCACCTGGTCGCAAGAAGATTCCGTGGCCATGGAGTGGATCTTCTTGGCCTGATCGAAGAGCGCGGGAAGGGGGATCTCGTCCATGTTCTTCGATTCTCCCATTAGAAAGGGGGTCGATGGAGCGAAACCCTAGAAATCTCGGTGCTGGTCTAAAGCAAGGAAGAAGACGACGTTAGGGTCCGGAAGAAGGACGAGGGGAGTTGTAGAGACGAGATTTTCAAGGCGATGAGAATTAATGAATGTTATATGTAGAAAGAGCTGGAAGCGGAAGGAAAGAGGACTACGGAAATTGAGTTCCTGTGAACGGGTACGAATCACTCAGCGGGTCGGGTCTGATGAGGTCGTTTTTTTAGTAATTCGTTTAGGCTGATGAAAATACAAAAAATTTAATTCAAATCGAATTCGGCCCTGGGATTACCACTCGAATTCGTATCCGAATTTCCAGAGGGAAAGAGGAAGAGCGCAGGGGTGTGCAAAGCAGCCGCCGGTCGGTTTTTAGTAAAATTTTAACAAACTGAACCGAACCGTTTATTATTCAAAACCGAACCGAACTGCCCCAAGTCCGCTCGGTGCAGTCCGGTTCGGTTCATTCGGTTCCGACTTGGTTATGGCATGACGTATTCAAATTGGATAGTGTAAATTTCATGGTAGATGAACTATTAGTTAACATAAACTTATAGAAAGACTTATTCTTGCTTAATTTACTATACAACCTTTATTTTGCTCTGTTACTAATCAAGAGCAAATGTTTTTTTTTTCAATTTTTGCCATGAAAATTGGAACTGAACCTTCTTTCAATAACCTGAAAGAGCAATGTAAATGCATAATATTGAAAAGGAAGATTGAATACTCACCTAAAAAATTAGGATAGTCTTGAGAATGCAGTTTCATAGCTTGTGAATCAGCTAGATAAGAAGGTTGACAATAATCAAATGATCTTGACAAATAGCTTGAATGAGGCAAGAAAATAATCAAATAACTTAGGCAATGAGAATACTATTTACGAATGACCAGAAACATGTTTGACAAGGCAAAAAAATAGTAAATTGTTTAAAGCAAGTACATAGGCCAAAGGCCTATGATATATATTTATACTAATCAATGTGAATAGGTTGAGTACCCAAGAGTCACCCTCACTTAATGGGGTGTTACATCACCATAATGGGGTGTGAATGGAGGGATAATGAGGGGGAGGCCAAAGGCCTCCCTCATCTCATAATACTCCCCCTTATCCATCCATTACCTTGGGTTTAGCTTATGAACACTTCAGGGTTCGTAAAGCTAATGGGGTGGATACTTCTGGATCCAGAGTAAACTTGTTTGCCTCGTTAAAACCTTAGCTGTGGAAAACCCAGTGGGAAAAAACCATCAGCCTAAGGAAAAAGAGTACAACCCATAGGTTACTCCCCCTGAACCATACAAGCTTCAGGCTTGTAGGTCTTTCAGATGTCTCATCCCTATTCCTTTTACAAGTTTTACAAAAGTACATCTAGGCAGAGCCTTAGTGAACAAGTCAGCTAAATTATTACATGATTGGATCTGCTGTACTTTAACTTGCTCCTCCTCTTGAAGATCGTGCGTCCAGAAAAACTTGGGAGATATGTGCTTCGTCTTGTCACCCTTGATGAAGCCAGACTGAAGTTGAGCAACGCAGGCTGCATTGTCTTCAAATATAGTAGTTGGCTCAAGGTCACCAGTCTTCAGGCCGGTAGACACTAAGATGTGCTGAATGACAGAACGAAGCCAAACACATTCTTTGCTGGTTTCATGGATCGCGAGGAGTTCGGAATGGTTGGATGAGATTGCTACAGTGGTTTGCTTGACAGACCTCCAGGAGATGGCCGTACCACCGAATGTAAACACAAATCCGGTTTGTGATTTCTCGGTGTGGGGATCAGACCTGTAACCTGCATCTGAATAACCAATTAAGGTGGGAGACCCACCCTTCGGGAAATATAATCCCAGGTCTATAGACCCTTGGAGGTAGCGCAGAAGATGCTTAACTCCATTCCAGTGGCGTTTTGTGGGCGCTGTACTGTATCTGGCTAGTAGGTTAACTGAAAACGCTATATCGGGACACGTACAGTTAGCCAGATATAGTAGTGCTCCAATGGCACTGAGGTAAGGTACTTCAGGACCTAGCATTTCCTCCCGCTGCAACGAACCAGATCTCAATGCGCAAAAGAGGAAGGAAATATTTTTTTTTATGGCTCAGGGATTCAAGAACACTTCGTGCTGATAACGTGTTTAAAGCAAGTACATAGGCCAAAGGCCTATGATATATATTTATACTAATCAATGTGAATAGGTTGAGTTCCCAAGAGTCACCCTCACTTAATGGGGTGTTACATCACCATAATGGGGTGTGAATGGAGGGATAATGAGGGGGAGGCCAAAGGCCTCCCTCATCTCATAATATAAATCATGTTCTTGATAATGCCCTGAAAAATCTATCAGCTGCCCAAAATCAAACTGAGAGTATTTGATAGTATCAAATCAAAAACAAAAACAAGTCTAAAATTGATAATTCGGTCATGGTGATCCAATGTAGAAGATGGGTCTTAATAAGCATGTCCATCCGGGCCGGCCTGGCCCGGCCCGGCCCGAAAATCCGGGCCCGGGCCGAGCAAAACTGAGGCCCAGATCCAGGCCCGGGTACCCCAGGCCGGGTCCGGGGTCGGGCCCGACCGGGCCGGGTTCCGGGCTGGCCCGGATTTTTTCAAATTTTTTTTCAAAATTTTTAGATTTTATTTAAATTTTTAATTATACAAAAAAAAGACAAGAAAAATAATAAAAAACAATAATTTTATTAATCACTTAAAATGACATAAATTACAAATAAAAAATGATAAAAACAAATTCTTGATTAATAATTAATAAATTATTTACAAATTACAAGTACAAATTTATTTTGGAATTAATCGCATCATAATAAATAAGTAAATCCCAACTAGGTTGGCACCTACTCACCTATATCACTATCATTTGCAACTATTTCTAAAATAATTCTTTACAAATTTTAAGCTAAGGCCTAAGATATGAAAATTACAATTTATTCTTTATATCTATCTGCTAGTCCCAATTCTTCAAATTTATCTTCAATTCCAGCCATCCGATCGATGCCTTGCATTCACTTCTCGTACCTCCACCAATCTTGTAAGCACATCACTGCTTCTACAGTTTACGGATCTAAGCATGTCCTGTGGTCGTCGATCAAACGTCCTGCTGTGCTGAAGACGGATTCTGAAGCTACCGTCGAAACCTGCATTGTTAGTAAGTCACGAACCATGGTGGAAAGTATAGGATATAAAACTGATCCATATACTTTCCACCATTGTAAAATATCTAAAGCATTTCCTTGACATTTAACTAAAGAAGCAGAAAAATATTCATCTATTTCAAAAACCTCCAATGATGACGATCCAAGTCCAGATCCACCAGTTAGCTCAGCTACCATTGCATACGCATACCTATCAAAACTTACATTTTTACCTCGGGATGAGCTCGAAGAAACCGAAGCTGTAGACTGTTGTGTAGCTACACATCCATGTCTAGCTGCATACTCATCATATAAGGTTTGAAAATAATTTCTAATAGCTAAATGATGAGTAGTAGTAGTAGTAAGGATGGTTCCATCATCTAAGTCTATAATCTGATTACCATACAATGATTGTAACAAACTTCGAAGGCCAATATCCTTCAAGCATGGATCAATAAGAACCCCCAAACCAAAAATATGAGGAATATGCCTAAAGTACTTATTAAATTTGCTCTCCATTTGAAAAATCATAGGTCCAAAAGTATTATCCATACGATATTTTTCAAAAAAAAATTGAATATTTAAAATTTGTAAAGCAGCTAAAGTAATGGTTGGATAATAACAGTCAGATAATAACATTGTAGCATCATAAAAAACTTGTAATATTTCATTTAAATTACATATAATTGTCCATTCATCTTCAGTTATTCCATAAGTGCTACCAGAACTAGAACTAGAAGCATAATAGTTTATAAAATCAGTTATAATGTCTTTATATTCTATTGCAACATTTAACATTGCATAGGTGGAATTCCACATATGGTAAACATCTTTTGGAATTAGTCTGGGCTTTACATTTTTTCTTTTACAAAATTGTTTCCATCTTTTAAGTCTTTATTCAGAAGCATTATGCATGTAAGCAACTGTTCTAACATTTTCTATCATGGGTTTAATTTCAGTAAATGCACTTTGAACAATTAAATTTAAAATATGACAGATACACCTAATATGAAAAAGATCACAATGACATAGCAATGATAAAGTTGATCTGATAAAATCAACAGCTACATTGTTATTACTTGCGTTATCTAGTGAAAGAGAAAATATTCTTTCTGAAATTTCTAATTTCATAAGTTCTTCAATTATTAAATTTGCAACATTAATACCAGTATGTGACTCCGCTATTACAATAAAAGAAACAACTCTTTTAAACATTTGCCAATTTTCATCAATCCAGTGTGCTATGATACATAAATATCCAGTTTGTGCTCTAGATGTCCAAATATCAGAAGTTAAAGAAAATTTACAGTTTAAATTTTTAAAATAAGAAATTATTTTTCCTTGTTCCTCCTGATAATATTTTAAAATATCACGTTGACAGGTTTGACGAGAATTTTTTTTAAATGCAGGATAAAAACCATCTCTAAACATATCTTCAAATTCATCATCTTCTACTAATTTAAAAGGAAGGTTTTTAAGAATGATAAACCTGATTACGCATTTCCTGACTCTGGCAGCATCATAGTTCCAACTACCGAGACTACCAGAAGAGGGGGATTGAGAAATCATAGATTGTCGGATATCACCTTGAGGAGTCTGGCCTTTGTTGTGTTTATCTAAATGGCGTTTGAGGTGGTTGGTGCCGCTCTTATGATGAGCTTGAAAAATCTTGCCGCGCAACGCACACTTAGCCTTCTGAGTGAGGATCCTACCGTGTTCATCCTTGGTGACGTTAATCTTCTCGTAAAATTCCACACATCGGATCTTGGCCTTTTAGGAGCTCTTGGTGCAGATTCGTCGCCACCGGATTCGGGATTAACTTCGGTAGGAGTAGACCCAGTAGGATGACTCATTTTAGGATCGGGAGATAAGTTTTGCTCTTCATAATCAGATCCGGAAGCCATTTGATGAAAGGATTAGAAAGTATAAATAAGAGAGTATAAGAGAGAAGTAGATGAGTTTTGGTGTGAAGAAAACAAATGAAAACCCCCCTCTATTCACAAGTAAAAAAA